GTCCTTATCTCCATCTTAAACTTCTTAAGGATGGTGACATTACCGCACCAGTGCCTAGCACAGCTTTTGGCATATAGAAAGGCTCTCAAAGTGTTTGCTCAATAAATAAATAAAGCCAATATTAGAAGGTAAAATTGTTTTTAAAATTCAATTTTATATTCTACATTACAACAAGCCTTTCTGCTATTCACAGCCTAAATTTAATTTTGTCCATTTAGTCAACAAATGTTAGCCTAGATCAGGGGTGGGGGACCTCTTTTCTGCCAAGGGCCATTTGAATATTTATAACATCATTCGTGGGCCATGCAAAATTATCAACTTAAAAATTCGCCTGCTATATTTGGTCAAATATTTAATTAACTCACCCCCAATGCCTTGGCAGGGCCAGACCAAACGATTCCGTACCCCTGGCCTAGATGCTTAGTACTTCCATTGGGGTTGTATGCCCAAACTCCTGGCATCATAGTACGTACTATAAAATAGGTCCTCAATACATAATTTTGGAATGAATTAATTAGTACAAAGATGATTAATATACCAACTTCCTGAGGCATTTATTTTAGACAATGTCTTGACTGTAAGTAATGGTGAAACGGGCCAGAATATGGGAAGAGCCATATGGGAGTTTTTGGTAGCTTTTGTTTGGTAAGCTGAAAAATGTGATTGCAAGAAGTGAGGACTTAAAGTAGCTCATGTAGTCACTGACTCTTGGGGAAGTGGCTGCTGAATCTGATCTGGCCTGTGGAAATCAAACGTGACTGGACTAATCTTGACAAGGAAAATACACAAGTTGCCGACTCATTATGTGTCTTTAGTCATCTCCTTAAATATCACCAGAGTCACAAGTATTTAGAAAAATCTTAAAATGCTTCATAGACAAGATATTGCCACTAGTAAAAGCCAAAGTTATATCTATAGGGACAAAGTTAAGGGCCCGAAATGGGATGTTAGTTGTTTTGACCTTTAGTTTGATGTGTACTCTGCTGCCATTTTCCATTTCAACAACCTCTTTAAGAACTCTTTAAGAACTCTCTCCCACACATATTTAAGTGCTCACTATAGAGAGAGCAGAGAGTGATGTGTAAAGAGCTTAGGCCTTGGCTTCAAGAGGCCTTGGTTTGAAGCCCAGCCCTACCACTTAGAAGCTACATGATCTTAGGTAATTCACCAAACTTGGCTGTGTTGCAGTTTCTTCACATGTACATGGGTGTTGACAAAAATAGTACAACTTGAGATTTAAATGACTTCATGCATATGCAGTGTAAGGACTTTATAATGTTGGCTCTGGCCATTATTGGTATGTGCTAGGTTAGGTGTTATGAATACAAACACTGAAAAGGAGAGTTATGGTTTCTGTCCTCATGCTGTGTGCTTGACATTTGCCTGTTTCTCTTTACTGTATAATTCATTCTTCAACCTTCCTCTGCCTTGCTGTGAAAAGGGCCTGACTCCAGAAAACCACAATTCCCAGGCTCCCTTACTAACTAGCTGCCTGCTAGGTTTAGGCAGCAGAAGGTTCAGAGAAGAAATTGAGCTTGGAAGGCCAATGGTGACTTGCTGCTTGCGTAGTAGCATCAATGGCAGAGGCTGTCTCTTCTTTCTTGCCCATCTCTCTCCAACAGAGCCTCCTTCTTTGCTCACAGGCCCCACTGCAATACCCTAGTTCCCAGGCTTCTTACCAGCTTTCTGCTGTGGGAATGAGGCCAATATAGAAGAAACTAGAACAAGAGGAAAAAGGCAAATTCTTGGTGTAGTCCTGGATCCAACTGTGCCTGCAGATTTTATAGATCTAGATGTTTTGAAATATGAGCCTGTACAATTTTCCCTTTTTGCTTAAGCTACTTTGACTGCATTTCTCTCACTTGCCTCTGTGAAAATTTTCATACATTGTCTACTAATTCATGAGACTGTTTGAGAAAGCACACTATAAAGCAGTTCTCCTTGAATATTTGTCTCTGGAATCCACATAACTAGTTTTTATTGTCCTGCTAGGATTAAGTGTATAAAGATGAGCAAGAGAAACACGGTCCTTCTCTTTGGTAGTACAATAATGACAGATTAAGTGTTTTACACTTAAAAAGTAAAAATCTTAGCTTTTATTATACTTATTCCAATATTGTTGTTTCCTCTGGAGATCTTTCCTTAGTTAATGTGCATCTTAAACAAAAGAGATCTCATCAATTTTAATACAAGAATATAAACTAAAATGCAAAGCAAAAAAACTTTGGGGAAATAGTTTTCATTTATTTTCAATAAAGTAAATCCCAAGCCTCTAGTTCTTTATGGGAAGCTTCCCAAGGCAGGAGGATTTTTCAGTGCAACGAAATTAACAATGTCACTGCCGCAGGACAATCACTCATTCTGTTATATATTTTCTTGGCTCTCCTCTTCTCCATTTGACTAAGATGATCCATTTGTCTTCTGATAATGAATGGGCTTCCTCTTCCTTTTAGCCACTAGCATAAGTCACTGAAACTTGCCCAAGACATGTCTAAAGTTCATTTGCTTTGGGAATTTTTTGAATCTTGCGGAGTTGATGAAAATAAATTTGTAATCAGGATGCAAGTATAAGTGTGTGTGTATATGGTGTGTTTGTGTGTGTGCGTGTGTGTGTGTGTGTGCGCGCGCTTTGTCTTTGAAATTTATGCAGTGGCCTTTTAATGTTGTAATGCATGGGTCAGGCTGTAGTTGCTATGGAAACAATAACCAAATTTCCTGACATTTGAGGGTAGGGAGATGCAGTGGTGGCTGCTGTGATCAAAGTTGAAAAATTGCTGATAAAATTAAAGTAGCTTAAAGAGTAAGGGGCTTTTTCTACCTTAATATTCAGATCAGAGCAGTCAGCTCTTCCCCAGAGTCTCCCAATTATATCTATCAAGGCCAGGCTGAAGGCTTACTAATATTCCTTTAATTATTATTTTATACTCAGTTTATTTTGGATAATGGATGAGTGGGATTTTGGAGTTCTTGATTATAGTTGCTATATAATTTTATATAGTATAAAATCATGCTTTATGGTAATGGGACACAGTATATTCAGATTAATGTCCACCCAAGACAAAATTGCTATTAAGATAACAAAATGCATGCTTTTGTTTGGAATGTAATACCTTGAAGTACAAGTTGATCAGTCCAATGAATGCATCTAATACATTCTCTGTTTAAAAGGGATCATTTCTAGGACCTCTATGACTCCTGCGGAGTTTCTCTGTAGCTTCCAGTATGGCACTGATATTTTTGCATTGTTAAGGTTAATAAGATCCACCATCTGAGAAGTTCATATATCTGTGTTTATTCCATTCATACTACATGTCAGGAGAATGTGAGAGGAGTATGGACTATGGCAGTGGTTCTCAACCTTCCTAAAGCCGTGACCCTTTAATACAGCTCCTCATGTTGTGGTGACCCCCAACCATAAAATTATTTTCGTTGCTACTTCATAACTGTAATTTTGCTACTGTTATGAATCGTAATGTAAATATTTGATATGCAGGATGTATTTTCATTGTTACAGATTGAAAATAATCAAAGCATAGTGATTAATCACAAAAACAATATGTAATTATAGATGTATTTTCCGATGGTCTTAGGCGACCCCTGTGAAAGGGTTGTTCGATCCCCAAAGGGGTCGCGACCCACAGGTTGAGAACCGCTGGACTATGGGGAGTGGCATAAATCCCCCTAATTGCTTAGTGAGGGTCCTCTGTGCCCAATACAATGTTACGCTCTGTGGATGTGGACAAGATGTGGATAAGAAATGATTCCTGCTTTCAAGAACCGGTTTTGCCACATGAGGAGAGAATACGTGCAGACTGCTCATTGAGTGGGGACATTGCAGGAGGAAAGCCAACAAATGCAGCCGAATATAAAGGCAGGAAGTGAGTCCAAACGAATGGGCAGATAAAGAAGCTGAAGAGGAAGCAGAACTTGAGATGGAACCCAACGGAAGGGCAGACCTAGTTAAAGAGGGAAGACTATGTTTGGTGTTAGTAAACTTCAGAACTTATAAGTATACTGTAATATTCTTTTGAATGTCATATGTTATATTAAAATAGAGACAAGGTAAAGCAAATGGTGTGAGCAAAGGTGCAGATGGGGCATGATCTAGTGGTTAAGGGACATTGAGTAGTTTGGTTATGCTGGGGAGATAGACAGATGGTTCTATTAGATATTCTCAGGTAATGAAGATGCTCAGGGAATTATGGGGGCTGTGAAGGACAGGTTAGAAAATCTGGGATTTTGTAGATTCCAAATGACATTGAGGGTCACAGGGCTTAAACTATAATAATCTGAGGTCAAAGTGAAGACTCTAAAATGGTGATAAACATAGTGAATTATCTTCCACTGCTTGACAAGAAGTTAGCAGTCAGTAAATGCAAATTGATTTTGGTTGCAGATAAAACCAATGTGACACCAACTCAAAAAAACCTTTGGAATTGTAGCTGATATACTGTGGTTGTTAAAACTTGTTGACAGTTGTTTAACTCCTCCATAGCACTTTCTTCAGATTTTTTCCTCTGGGTTATTGTCACTTCAGGCCTCTTTAATATAGATGAATTGAAAAGAAGAAGTTTTAAAAGCCTAGGTTTTTTTTGCATATGAAGTTGTATAAAGTATGTATAATATGGTAGGAGCCTTGAGTGAGTTATAATTGTATTTTTATTTCATACTGAGAAATTGGCCCACCTTGATTTCATACAGATGATGACATGGTGGTCTCAACGCTTCTCAGTACTCATTAGGAAAATTGTTGAGGATGGATTTAGCATTCTCAACTCTGAGGGATTTCTGGAAACACAATGGGTAATCTCTCTCCAAGTTAATACATATCTATTGCTTCTGATTTAGGGCAATCATAGAATGAGACTAAACACCTTTGGCACAAAGTAGTAGAATATCATATGGGTTATGTTTTTGGGTGTTAGTTTTTAAAATTAAGTTTTTTTAAAAATGGACAATCTTTTAACCTTTCTTCTTCCCCTCCCCCCCCCCCCCAAAAGGGTCTTCTTAAGAAATGCTACTCTGCCAAGGCGTCTTACCTCTTCCAGCAGGATAAATTCTATGATGTCAGCTACGACACAGGAGACAAGTCTATCCAATGTAGCAGGAGAGCAGATGCATTCAAGTTCTGGATGACTTGGAAGGCCTTGGGCACATTAGGCCTTGAAGAAAGAGTTAATCGTGCTCTTGCTTTATCTAGGTACTTGCGTGTGTGTGTGCATGTGTGTGTGTGCACCCATGTGTATCTATGATAGACTCAGTGACAGTAACATTTGTGAGGTCTGTACATATTATCTCATTTGTGCATTTCTTCTTTTATCTGATAACCTTTTTTCCCCAGTATCTACTATGTGATAGGAATTGTAAGCAAAGGACTCCTACCCACTGCCCTCCAGGATCCTAGCCTAGTAAGAAATACATTCTGGTGCTAATGCAGATAAAAATACAGGTTAACCTACTTTTTTGTTAAAGGAAGGTGCATGGTGCTCCAGACCACTCAGCAGGATTCCCCAGTATATTCATGAGAGTCATTGGCAGGGAAGCAACATTCAACTAAGACACAATAAAGAAAGGACAGAAGAATAATCCAAGCAGAGGGAATAGCAGGCCTAGATTTCCAGATGTGAGAGAGAGCATGGTGACTTCAAGGACCCAAATAGTAGGTCTTGAGCCTGTGGGGCTGGTGTAAAGACATAAAGGTAAAGTGGAAGCCCCAGGGCTGCTTGCCTTGTTGTAACATTAGAGACAAAGCTTTTGAACCCACTTTCAAAGGCATGTGAAGAGCTCTTGATATATGCATTGGACAAATATATCACCTGAACAGAACTCTGCTGCTAAGCTTGGATCAGTGGGTGCCAATGGGCAGGCCATGATCAAATTTACTTTTAAATGTGACTTGTTGGGCCTGAACTTCATAGGGTTAACCTTCATGATGTTAAAAAAAATAAAACATTTGAACATTTAAAATAGTATTTAAAAATAGAGAGATTTGTTAAAAATCTAGATTTTTGGCTTCTATTCCGAATGCTCTCAATCCCACATGGTGACAAGCTGCTGAACATGACGCCCGACTCTCGGAAGAACCATCGTCCCCTCCTCTCATCCTGTTTCTTATCTAGCTCATTTTACTATAGCTTAGAGGTGCTAGCTCTACCATTTATAAGCTCTTCATGTCTTGGGAAAGTTTTTTAACCTTTCTGTACCTCAGTTTCACCCCAGTAACATGGAGATAACAACAGTGTCTAACTCAAATAATTGTGATGAGGATTAAATGAATTAACATGTGTAAACACTCAGAACAGTGCCTGGCTGGCATATGCTACATGCTATATGAGCTCTAGTGTCAGTTTTTTGTGTTTTGTTTTTACCTGCTTGCCATTACAGGCATCAGAGTTTGTGATCTCTGGTTTGAATAATCTCTCCTTCTTCACTCCCTGTTTACATTTCACTTGCAAAACCTGAAGTATCTCCCTAGAGACTTAAAACAATGTCTTCTTTCTACACGGGGAGTGGTATGGGTGCTCTCTGCAACACTGTGCAACAGCGATGCTCTGAGCATCACTGCGGATTTTCTGGAAACCCAGGATCTTATAATAATAATGATTTTGTCTAAAGTCTGCAACTCGGCTGGAGTGGCTTTATCTCATACTATGGTGGCTTGGGGTGGAGAAAAGCAGACTGGGCCTACTCTCCACATGTCTTTCATCTTCCTTGGGTCAGCAGGCTAGCCGGAGTGTGTTCTTGTAATGGGGCTGACAGAAGATAAGGCAAGCCCACTTTAACCTCCTGGTTGCATCATATCTACTAGCATTCCAATGGCCAAAGCAAAGTTCATGGCCAATCTCAGTGTCAAAAGACAGGAAGTACAGTCAACCATTTTGCAGGAAGAACTGCAAAAGTACATGGCAAAGGATTTGGTTATAAGGACAGGTGAAGAGATGGCTTTGGCACTTTCTGGTGATTGTGGTTTCAGAAGTAGTTTGAAAAATCTGCAAATATGTGTCAGTTAGGATTCTTTTGGTGGTAACCGACAGAAATGTTAACTCCAGGTATCATAAAGAAAGAAAGATAATGTGTTACCTCATATTACTTATAAGCTAGTATAGTGACGACTTCTGGAATGGCTTATTCAAGAGGCTTAAACAATATTACCGACCTCAGTTTATCTCTGTCTATCAGGTCTGTTCTCCTTCATGTTTAGTTTCTTCCTATGAGGGAAGGCAGCTGCCAGGAGTGTCAGATCTACATCCTCCCACATTCAGGGTCAAGGTAAAAAGGAGAGACTTTTCCTCTCTCAATAACCCTGAGGAAATTTATAATCATTTCTGTTTGAAGCAAGCATCCACCTCAGAATCAGTCACTGTTTTGAGGGAAAGGTGATACTCTCATTGGTCATGCTGAGCCACATGCCCTCCCTTGGCACTAGGGAGACTCTCAATTCCTCCTATAGAACATGTACTGAAACTAGGTGAGCAGTGTGCTTTTAGTAGAAGTAGGGCTAAAGTGCTTCGATCAGAAGTAGGGCGAGAACTACCCAGAGGTGAAAAAAAATGGACTGTCTACCATAAATATTCATAGTTGCTCATTAAAAGTTCAGAAATCTCTGTTCACTTTTTTGTATTTTCTCATACCATTTAAGTGTGGTAGAATCTCTGCATTATTTTTTCTAAGCCGCTGAGTAATTTAATAACAGGTGTCATGAAACAGGCGAGATATAAATATTTGATGATTGTATTTATTGTAAAGTGAACATTCATCTCAGGGTAGAATTTAATTTATAGTCAAAGGAGTTTTTCTAATTTTTGCAGAGAAATATCACAGGAGGATAAATGTTAACATTTCAGTTCAATTCAGCCACACTTATTGTTTATAAATGTTTGTCAAGTTGAATTGAATGGAACTAACATTTCAGTGAGCATTGCTGCAGACTCCGTGACCTATATTTAATATTTGAAAAATAATCCCTCCTCTTTCATGCTGTTACTCATAATAGTTTTGTTCTCCTTGACATTCCACATTCTTGATATCTAACACTCTGTTCCTGGAGTGAGCAAAAGTTACTCTGTTTTCCCACCCCCAATACCAAGCAAAAGCTAAGTCCTTTTACAGATATCACTTTGAATGAATATAAAATTATAAACGTGGAGAAAATTACTTTAGGATTAAGAATTATATTAAGATAGCAATATAAGGTCTTTGTTTTCATGATTTTTATTTCCTTTTAAATTGATTGGTTTGTGGTTCTGCTCATTAGGGGGGGAATGGGAAATTTTCTCAATTCTGGGAGCTAATCTGTGTTCTTAAGTCCACGTGTAGTGGTCTAGAGATAAAATGTCTCTTGGGAGGGGAAAACAAAGCCTCAGTTTGTAATGTCTGCCAATTTCCAGTTGTGGTTTACAAAATTCCAGAATATTTAACAATTAGCTCTCACTAGCCAGTAAAATCTAGCACGACAACACCATTGATTTTGTGAGCCAGCATAATCAGTTCAGACCACTGACTGGTGAGAGTTAAAATGCCATTTTCCACCACACCCACTGGCCCTAGACCACCTGCTTTAGATTTTATGTAATAAAAATGATTCTCGCCGAAACCGGTTTGGCTCAGTGGATAGAGCGTCGGCCTGCAGACTGGAGGGTCCCGGGTTCGATTCCGGTCAAGGGCATGTACCTGGGTTGTGGGCACTTCCCCAGTGGGGGATGTGCAGGAGGCAGCTGATCGATGTTTCTCTCTCATCGATGTTTCTGGCTCTCTATCTCTCTCTCTTCCTCTCTGTAAAAAAATCAATAAAATATATTTTTAAAAAAATGATTCTCATTCATGGTGTTCAGCTCTACTTGCTATAACTTCTCTAATTTATGGCTAACACTTTTGTTTCCTAGAAGTATAATACCCTTCAGCAGATAAGAACTCTAGCAAAGTGAACATGCAAATGAGAATTGTGTTACTATTTGGAGTGCACCTCTATTATCAGCAGTCTAATGTAGCTAACATATCCATTTCCCTAGGCCCTAGGTTAGGTGTCTTAAATACTGGAAAAGCTGTGCAACCCTTTACCCCTGGCACATTGTAGTAAAGATGGCACCGACCTGATAGAAGCAATGTTTTCATGTTCCTGAATCAAAATGGAGCTTAGTGTTGAAATTTCTGTATTGACTTTAAGACTTAAGGGCCCGATTTTGATGTACCTACAGACTGCCATCACCTTGACCAGGTAGCTTGCTCCTCTGCCCCTGGGAAAGCAGGAACAGACATTTTCAGGAGGACTGTGATTCCTATTTCACCAGCTGTCAGAGATCCAGCAAGAAGGAAACATGTATGGCCTGGGAGATCAGGAAGGCTTTTCTAATTTTCTTTTGACCCTTGTCATCCCAGTTGATGACCGCACCTTTCTCAGAAGAAATATTAACGACTGGAAACTTGCTTTCTCCTTGGGTTGTTTGAAAATCAGTGGTGTTGGGAACCTAAAGCAACATACCATTGAAACCCAGGGGGGCTGAGGTTTAAAATCACCATCTCCAGCACAAGGCAGGAGATTGTGCATCTCGGATTTCTGCCTAAGAAAGTGGAAAATGTTTCACAATGCTCGGGGCAACCTGTTGCTGAGGGCACCTTCTAGCCCGTTGTTGTGGCACTCAGGTTAAATGGATATTCACTAAGGGGCAATTTTTAAAGCAAATCTAGAAGAGTCACATACATAGGTCTTTTCAGCAACAAACAGCTCACAAACTCCCATTCTGCTGTTGCTAGGTCTCCAATGTATCATTTATCTATCCCCTTGACACACGTCTCTGTAATTCCTCCAGTGGAATTTATTTCACTGGCTTGCATGAATACTGAGGGATTTACTGTTGTCAGTATGGAAAAGGTGAGCAGTTACACAATGGCACTTTGGTGCTAGTGTGTTTCTCCAGGTGACAAGAGGAGGAGAGTCCAGAAGACTATGAAGGGCTAACGTTTTCAATTTTTTATATTGGTGATTTTTTAAAAAATCATCATTGCAGTAGAATGTAGTAGGTAGGTGTTTGTGATGAATCACAAGCCATGCATTATGTCTTAATGTATGCAGAGCATACAGAAAGCAGATGGAAAGAACTCCCAGGAGTTCTGCAAGGCTCCATGTATCAGAAAAAAATGTCAAGTGAGGAGATGAGACCGGGAGAGAAACTTGGTTCAGAGTGCTCCGAGAAGACTAAGTAGCTGGTGAATTGAGAAAGGGACTAGAAGGGCTATTCCCAGAAAGGACAATCTAATGCAAAAATATTAAATTCATTTAACAAATCAGAGAATTGAGAGTATCTGACATCAGAAGCACATTTTTAAACAAAGAAAGGGAAAGTGTTTCAGAGCAAGATTGTCATGAATGTATGCTTCAAAATCAAGCCAGAATCTTCATATAATGAGTTTTTACCCAGTAGGTTTGGTGAAAACTCTTGCTGATGTATTTTTTTCTCTCTTTTCTCTTTTTTTACTAAGCTTAGTGAGGACAGTGATGAGTTTTATGAAGCTATTGTTGTTCCTTGAACCTATTTACCTGGATTCTTTTTGGTCGAAGTGGTTTATGGTTCCTGCATTATGTCCCAAAAATCAATGTACATCTTTTTATTTTCCTGGCTGGCATCAGATAAGAATAGTTTTTTTTAAATGTATTTCATCTCCAGGCTGTTTCCATATATTGAAAAGAAAAGTTGTGAAGAATAAATCATTCCTATGAATGTAGGAAGAAGTGACTCAAAACCTTATATTGATTCCCTCTCAAAACTGATTTTATTTTGAGGCACTTATAAACTAGCATTTCTGAAACTATGCTCTGTGGGATAATAGACATCCAGAACATAGTAATAAATGTTCTTCCAAAAAAAATATTTTCATGGTCAAATATGCTTGGGAAATGCTAACTCCTGCATTATTCCTCTCTTGGAGATTCAGTGTTCATTAGCACATTAAGGACTCTGAGGGGGGCTTGTAATCTAGAAACATTTTTAACTTTGCTTTAACCAGAATGCAGACACTGTTAATTGTTCCCACAACAACCATGCTCCCCTTTTTCTTGCCAACAGAACCTTGGTTTTGTGTAGGTAGGAATATAATGTTCCAGCTGTGAACATTGGTCCAAGCCAATTCCCACTGCTAACAATTAGTTCAGGGATGGGTATATGACTCAGCTTCAGTCAATAAGATACAGGAAGAATTCTGTGAAGGCATCTGGGGGAAATAGTCTTACGTAAATAGAGAAAAATTAAGTAAAACCACTTTTGCTCCAACCCTTTCTCTTTCTCCTTGGGACACTGTTGTATAAGGATGTGATGTATGGAGCTGTAGCAGATAGCTGGATGAGCATGAAAAATTTTACTAATGCTGAGCATATGGCTGGCTGAAGTGATAGAAAATGCCTACTTCTTAATGATAGCATTGAACCATCTAACCAGCTCAATAAACGTCCTTATAAATTAAGCCAAGTATATTTCTAATTGTAGACGACAGCCATTGCTCAGATGTATTTGGCAATGGAACCCCTTCATGTGAGAAAGCTATTGACATGGTGTATCATGGAGCATGGAATTGTTATAATAGCAACTCTTCACCTGAGTGACCTCTACTCTCAACTCAGTTGGAGTGTTAACCCTGGCTCTGAGAGTGACTGCAGTGGGGAGATTGACCCTCAGGCAAAGCCAGGTTCTCATGGGTAGCAAAGAGCAGAGTCTTAATTTAATTGATTCAGTTCTGTTTTAGGATGCCTTTCTCCCAGGAGCAACTCTAGCCAGTTTGGCAGAAATATTTTAAATTGAGACTATAGGTAGTGTGTGTAAGTTTCATACAGTCATAATCTCTTAGGGAAGGATTTTACCAATCTAGCCTCACATCTCCATTACATGCGTGAGTAAACTGAGGCAGGCTCAGGGAGGCTAAGGAATTTGCTCCATCCCAGAGTTGATTAGCTACACAGCTAGAATCTTGTGCAGTCATTTTGAGGACCTCTGGAGATACGAAGTTTTTGTAGCCTCAAGTTGTCCAGGATTAGTGAAGGCTTCCTCAGGATGAGATCACAATGGCATCGGCTTCTGAGTGAACAGCTAGTCTATAGGTTTCTGCCTGAGCAGGTGAGGAAAAGTGTGGTTCACAAGCTTTCCTTGTCTAGATAGTATATGTCTATTTGGTTTTGTGCTTTATATTTTATCTTTTATTCAGTACCTTTTCAAAAGTACACAAGTAACCACATCTATGAAACTTTGCAAAGAAACATGAAAAGAGTGTTAGTAATTTCTACCTCCCCCGTTGCATTGCATTTTTCCTCTCTTAGGTAATCACTAATAATTTACTAAGTATCCTTTCATACTTTACTACATGATCATATCTAATTGTGGGTAAGGATTACTTTTGTTTTCCTTTTTTATAATTTCTTAGACAGTAGAATCATAGTATCCACATTTTTTTTTTCATTTCTTGCTTTTACCTCTTAGTAAAATATCATAAAAATATGTGTGGTTTAATCTAAGTAGACATAATCCATTTTTATTAATAGCTGCATCATATTACATTGTATTGCTATAATACATTTTATTCTACCATTTGCCAATTTCTGGACATTAATCTTGTCTCTAGTTATTTTGTATGAAATACACACACATAGATTTAGATACAATAATGTATATATGTGCATATACATATAAAGACGTATATGTGTATGTGTGTATATAGTAGTGGTTATTTTTTCCCTGGTGGATCAGCCTCTCTAAAGTGGTTGGCTGCATAAGAAGATATGATTATTATTAATTTTAAAAGGGTTTTAGCAGCTTTCTGTCACATTTTCATTAGTTTTAGGTGTTGTCTCTCTTAAAATTTATTTTTATATCACATGGGCAACATGGTTCAGTATTGTTTTAATTTGCACTTCTTTGATTATCAGTGATCTTGAGCATATTTTCTGATGTTTAATAACCATTGGAGTTGCTTTTTGCAGAAGTTAGGAGTGTGCTAAAGGTTCAAACATTACAGCTACATAACATCTCCTGAAAAAAGTACCCAGGGAAAGGAGTATGTAAAACATCAAATACTTTGGTAGCGCGCGCGTGTGTGTGTATGTGTGCATTCACAATATTATTGCTCAAAATAAAGGGTCTATATTATCTAGTTAATAATGGTAGAATTTCATCAGATTTTGTATCATTTAAAGATGATATAACTTATTTTCTAAACACCAGTATTTAAACTTATTTGATGAACTATATAAACAAGTTTGGAGAAAAAGAACTGAGTCCATATTCACATTCTAGAATAGCCTTTTTAGCAAATGAACATAATGAAACTAACCACCCTCATTTTCACAGTTTCTATACTTCATAATTTGTTAATTTCTTATTAAAAATTTTTACAACAGCATTTTGAGATAGAAAAGTAGATTGTGATATTTCAGTTCTATAGGTAAGGGAATTGAGGCCTGAGAAGAGCATTTTTTGTTGTCCTTAAATATTAATTGAATATGTGTCATTTGGTGACAGGATCACATTTCATATGGTTGTACCATAGCTCCTTATAACTGACTGGACCATAGTTTTCAAAGCCAGTGCTTGTTCCTGAGTGTGATGTTCCTCCTTCCTTCTTTCCTTCCTTTCTTTCCCTTTTCTTTTTCTCTCTGTGCTATTACATATAAAATCACAATAAATACCCTAGCAAGTACATTTTTGTCAGCACCCCTAATCACATCCTTACATTTGACACCCGAATTTGAAATATTGAGTCAAGTATTACAAACTTTTCAAGGCTCATGACCAAATCACTAGTTTTCAAGGCCAACCATTTCAGAAGCTTTCTATTTTTATATAGACAACTAGAGGCCCAGTGCATGATTAAATCATGAGCGTGTAGGGTCCCGTAGGTCTAGCCTGCCATCAGGGCCATGTCCGCCACCCCATGACGCCTTGCACACTCCGTGGATGCTGCTGGCGCCCCACGATGCTCCACCAATGCTGCCGGTGCCCTGGGGGTGGGGGGAGGGCCTGAGAGGTGCTCCATGCACCTCCTGGTGACCGGTCATTTTGTTCGTTATGGCGTTACAGCCACAGGCCTTTTATAATATAAAAAATCAATCCCAGGGAAGGAGTCTCAGTGTTAATTTACTTTATATTCTCAATGTCTTTTCAGTCTTTTCTCCATCAGGTTCCGTATCTCATGTATCTGTGTTCTTTGCTTGTGGTGTGATAATTCTCTTTTCCCTGACATTCAAAATGACTTCAGAGATAGTTCACCAATGGCTACAACCTGCTTACTTGAACATAATACAAATAATCAGTTAGTCTTCCCTCTGTCCTGGCCTTGGACAAGATGACGCTCAGCTTCCTTGATCTTGAATGAAATTGCAAGCAGGACTACACACCAAAAACTCTTTCTCCCCAAGTCAACTAGGTAATTTAAGTACCTATGCTAAATATCCACCTAGGATGTGAACGAGAACTCCACATGTTCAGAGATATATAGCCAGTCTACTTTGTGTGGATTTCATAATGGGGTGAAAGTCTGATGCTAATGTGTGAGATAGACATTATCTCATCCAAAAATGTGTCTTTTTACTCAGGCCCCAGGAGATTGCAATAGGTTCAGGAGTATCTGCCAAATCCATACCTTTGCTTATACCTCTACCCTTACTTATTCCTAAGCCTCATATTTCTAAGCCTTGTCTCTGGTCCAGAAATAACAGTTTTGTCATATGTCAGTCATGTTCATGGACTTTTTAAATTTCAGATTATAAATATTATTGTGGGGTTTTTTTTAGGTACCTGGTAGAAGAAATCAAGAAAAGAGAAGGATTCAAGTTGCTGATGGAAGTAAGTACAGAACTGTGCCTATGATTTTGTCACTCAGCAGTGATGAAGGTGGTAATTTTCCAATCTATTATATTTCATTGGTTTTTGTGTTGCAGACTTAGAAACAAGTCATTAGCTTAATTCAGAGAGTCCATTATGTTAATTTACTCTATTAGTAAGTGTTTTTCCTTTGTTGGATTCAGAGAACACACTTGCCTTTACATATTGAAAATTAAAGTGCTCAATAATAATTACCAAGGATAATACTGAATAAATTATGTCCTCTGTCCTGATATATAAATTGCATAATGATTGTACTGCAAATATTAAGCTGTACTATAGTGGTGCCTGCATGTGAAAAATCAATTAAGTGAATGTACAATAATGCTTATAGATTTCTCTTTTCATAAAATAACGAGAGCATATTAGCTTTGGAGCAATGGAAAATAAGTCATTTTGTGTTGGATTCTTTGCTAGACAATAAGAAATAGGTAGTTACAAAGATAGAAAATATTTTCCCCCACAAATTTATGATTAGGAAATATGAGGAATATTATTTAATTCTGATTTTTTAAGAAATATAAAATGTGAGGTTGTCTTAGATCTTCTTATAAGTAGCATATGCTCAATAGCAATTTTTTAAAATATATTTTTTATTTATTTCAGAGAGGAAGGGAGGAGAGTTAGAAACATCAATAATGAGAGAAAATCATTGATCAGTTGCCTCCTGCATGTCCCCTCTGGGGATCAAGCCCACAACCCAGGCATGTGCCTTGACCAGGAATAGAACTGTGATCTCCTAGTTCATAGGTCAACACTCAACTACTGAGCAACACCAGCCAGGCTCAATAGCAGTTTTAACATAATATAAAAATTTCTCTTTTCATAAAATAATGAAAGCATATTAGCTTTGGAGCAATGGGAAAATAAATCATCTAGATATTGCAACATAGGAACCTATTTTGTATATAAGCAATCTAGCTATTTTTTTGATATTCATTTATTTAGCAAGATTTATTGAACAATTTCTGTGTGCCAGGCCCAGGTCTAGGCACTGGAGATATAAGACAGGGAAGTTGCCTGCTTTCATGGTTCTTACATTCAAATAAAAAGTGATAGGCAATAAATAAGCCAATTAATACATAGGAAATATCAGATAGTGAGAAATCTTAGGAAAACAAATGAATTCATCTATATATATAAAAACCTAAGCCACTGAATGACTAGTCCACTAGTCACTATGATGTGCACTGACCACCAGGGGACAGATGCTAAATGCACAGGATCAGGCTCCCTCTTGTCTGGATTGGGCCTGCGGGGATCGGGCCAAAACCGGCTCTCCGACATCCCCTGAGGGGTCCTGGATTGCAAGAGGGCACTGGCCAGGCCGAGGGACCCCACCAGTGCATGAATCCGTGCACTGGGCCTCTAGTAAGAGATAATCTAGTATACAACTAAATAATTAGACAGTTACAGATGTGATAAGTGAAAAGTTAAAGTTGATGATGTGCAGCAGGCTAAATAGGCATCTCACACAGTGATTAAAGAGAAATTGAATTTATTTAAAGAAAAGGGAATGGGAAACAGGGATATCCACAGGGAAGAGCTACACAGCACTGAGCCAAAGGGTATTGGGGTCCATGATGGCAGCAAAAATGTACTTAGGACAGTGAAACAAGGAAGGTAATAAAAGCAACAAGAAAGCCTAGGTTGGGCTGTCTTGAGAAGTCAGAGAAAAGGGGGCTTTTGAGATGGGTTCGGGGGGTGGAGGGGTTAGCCTGGGACGAGCTGCTGCTGCCCATTGCTCCCCTGGTTGCAAGTCTCATGGGGTCCCTTAGAGGTTGAGGGATACTTGCCTGAGTGGGAATGTAAGGGGGAGGGGAATGGCATGAGCATGATCCTTAGAGGGAGAGTTCACGCTGGGCCCTTTGTCCTGAGCATATCTCTCTCTTGCAAGTGGAAATCTTAGGGGAGATATTAGGGGAGGGTCTTGATAGAATAGTCATCAGCTTTCCAAGTGTGCTCTTTTAGGGTCGTGGTCTCCTCTGATTGGTCAGTGCCAGTGCAGGGGGATCATTAGTCAATGAGCTGGTCCTGAGGCAGCTATTGTGTGAGTTGTCTGGTTTTGCTGCTTTTCTGAGCCTAGATGGTATCTTTAGGGAGGAAAAGGTCAGGGGGACTAAACCACCTGACCAGCGATATGAAAGATCTGGGGTCCAAACTGCATGACCAGTGATATGCAAGGGGAGGATAGGTTATCCTGGGGGCAAGGTTCTTGTGTTCCCAGTTTGCCCCTTGCTAGGCATCCAGGGCTTTCTGTCTTGGGGAGTTTCTGTACCAGGCCAATTGTTCTTACTCTGCTCAGGTCTGTCTAACAATAAGTATTATAATGGAAATAAGTAGGGTGAAATGCTAAAACAAGAAATTAGTGGGGGGTGGCTTCTTAGGTGTGGGTTGTCCAGGTATGGTCTTCTGAGGTTACCTTTGAGCTGAGACCTGAATAATGGTAAATAGCATAACTTGCTGTTGTCTGAAGGGAAGGCATTCTAGGCAGAATCAATAAACAATGGCAAAGGTTTAAAGCTGAAAAGAGTTCTGTGTGTTTGAGGAGCCAAAAGAAGGTATATTAAGCAAGGGGTGCAAGTTGCAGTGTTTGATGAAGTTGGAGAGGTGGATGGGGAGATCAGTTGGAATCAGGTAGGTCATGGTAAGATCTTTGGCTTTTATTCCAAGTGTAATCATTGGAGAAGTTTTAAGGAGACAGGAGCCTGACATCCATTTTACAAGATCATGCAGGATGTCTTGGGAAGAGAGGAATGGGGAGAGGGTGGGGTGAAGACAGGATGAGAAAAAATTAAATGAGACAAATCGGAGACTGTTGCAGTAGTCCAGGTCTCCAGACAAGTTTTGGAAAACCTGCTCCAGAGAATTCTGACTGTGGCTTCCACCACTATCCACAAAGGAGTTCAAAATTTCCTGAAAAGTAGTGACTTGCAAAGATAGCAAAAGAACCCATATTTAAATGACTTTCTGGTAACACTTCAAAGAAGCAAGAAGAAAAGTTTCAAATGTAGGGCATTCTATAGGACAGCTGACCTGATTTCTTTAACAGGTCAGTGGCATGAAGAAAAATAAGGAGAAAGTGGTGTTAATCACTTTAGGTTCAAAGAGATAGAAGAGGCATAGCAACTAAATGCAAATTATGAAGCTTTTAGAATCCCAGTTCGAACAAGCCAATTGTAAAAGTACATTTTGAAACAGGTGGGGGAATTTCTAACATGAACTGATTATTGGATAATACCAGGGAATTATCAGTAATTTTATTAAGCACTAGAGGCCTGGTGCACAAAAATTTGTGCACTGGAGCGGGGGGTCCCTCAGCCCAGCCTGCCCCCTATCACATACTGGGAGCCCTCAGGGATTTCCTACTGACGGCTTAGGCCTGCTCCCTGCTCCCCTTGGGGAGCGGGCCTAAGCCACAGTCTGGCCTCCCTTTGTGGGAGGCGACCAGGCTGATCAGGGGAAGGCACCAGCCCCATCACCTTGCTGTTGCAGCCACTGCCAGTCACCGCAGCCACCAAGGTGTTCTCATCAACATGGACTCCAGTCCCTTCACCATGAAAAAATGACAGCTTTCTTTAGGCATTTTCAAGATGTGTCTTTCATAGAATATGACATTTTTTTATTATTTTTTTTTTATCCTCACTTGAGGATATGTTTCCATTGATTTTTAGAGAATGTGGAAGAGAAAGGGAAAGACAGAGGGAAACATCAAAGTGAGAGGAACACTTTGATTGATTTCCTACTGCATGAGCCCTGACCTGGGCCCGGGCCAGGGAGGAGCCTGCAACCTAGATACATGCCCTTGGTCAGAATTGAACCCAGACACTGTGGTGGGCAGGCCGAGGCATTATCCATTGAGCAAAACCAGCTGGGCAGGATATGACATTTCTTAGCCCTCCAGCAGCGGATGTTCCTTTTTTCTCCAGGAGTGTGGTAAAAAACCCTAGATCACCTTATTGGATTCTTATTACCCAGGTTACTAAGAATATTACCAGTGGCATATGGGGAGCTTAGTCAGTGAGTGGTCAGAAAAGGTGTTTCCACTGTAGTTCATACCAATTGCTGGCTTGGGCCCTGCCCAGGCTTAACGCCTGTGGCCAAGTCCTTAGGTCTGGGCAGGGGACCTCCAGCTCCCCATCATCGCTGGCTCTGCCCCTGCTCCCTGTGAATGCTGGCTCTGCCCTGCTCCCCCCCATTGTTGGCTCCCTCCCTGCTCCCCACCATCGCCAGCTCTGCCCCTGTCCAGGCCTAATGCCTCTGACCAAGGCGTTAGGTCTGGGCAGGGGACCTCCAGCTCCCCGCCATCGCCGGCTCTGCCCCTGCCCAGGCCTAACGCCTGTGGCAGAGGCATTAGGCCTGAGCAGGGGACCTCCAGCTCTCCGTGATAGCCGGCTCCGCCCCTGCCCGGGCCTAATGCGTGTGGCCGAGGCAGTAGGCCTGGGCAGGGGACCCCCAGCTCCCACAATCTTCGGATCTGCCCCTGCTCCCCGCCATCACCGCCTCTGCCACTGCCCAGGCCTAATGCCTCTGACCCAGGCATTAGGCCTAGGCAGGGGACCCCCAGCTCCCCATGATCGCCAACTCTGCCCCTGCACTCCACAATCGCTGGCTCCAACCCTGCCCAGGTCTAACACCTCTGGCCAAGGCGTTAGGCCTGTGCAGGGGATCCCCAGCTCTCCCCCATTGCTGGCTCCGCCCCTGCTCCCTGCCATTGCCGGCTCTGCCCCTGCCCAGGCCTAACACCTGTGGCTGAGGCATTAGGCCTGGGCAAGGGACCCCCAACTCCACCCCTGCTCCCCGTGATCACTGGCTTCACCCCTGCCCAGGCCTAACGCCTCTGGCCAAGGCGTTAGGCCTGGGCAGGGGACCCCCAGCTCCCCGCGATCACCGACTCTGCCCCTGCTCCCCGCCATCGCCGGCTCTGCCCCTGCCCAGGCCTAACTCCTCAAGGCTTTAAGCCTGGGCAGGGGACTTCTCAGCTCTTATTGCAGGCTCCGATCGCCACTGGGCCCTATGTATGCAAATTAACCGCCATCTTTGTTTGGTTAATTTGCATACTCATCCATTTGGCTGGTGGGCGTGCTAAAGGTACAGTCAGTTTGCATGTTTGTCTATTATTAGGTAAGATGATGATGGCATTATGATGCTGTAAGAAACTGTCTGTAACTTTTAGGATGTGTACTTACACTTGGAGGGATGAAACAACAACTATGCAATTGGCTAGACTGTGAGTTTGAGTCACTTTTATTTCCTAGAGTTTGAGCTGCCATCTTTATTTTCTTGAGGTCTAGTTACATCTTTATTTTCTCAAGTTTGAATTGCCTTCTTCATTTGTCTGGTTTTGGTAGCTGCAGAGCTTATGGAAAGTGCTTTATACCTCAGAACTGCACTGTCTTTTGATAGAGCTAATAAAAAAGTCATGAGAAAAAAAAAGATGAAGTGACTTAAAAGTTGTTTATATATTCTTCCTAAAGGCTTAAAAATCGCAGGAGGAACCTCTTATCATCATCTTTAGGGATCTGCAAACAGTTCCATCCTTGTAATGAAAGTTGAGGTGGGTTTTCATTATTAGGAAGCCTTCTGCCCTGGATATTTTATCTGTGGGAGCCAGATGGCCCCCAAGCAGTGGACGTGGCTTTCTCAATGGTTCTCCAGAGTTCCTACTTAGAAGGATTGTTGTGTGTGATCTGCATTTGCCTCTTTTCTGTGTATTCCCATTTAGAGTAATGAAGTAAATTTAGACCTTGAGTTTCGCCTAAGTGTCAAGCTGCTTAGCCTGTTAACAAATACTTTCATTGGATTGATTAAATATAGCCCTAATACATACTTAAGGGAAGAAATGCAAAGATCCATTTGGAGCTTAGGTCTGTGAACTATAATTCTTCCCATTTAGGACAAGTCAAAGTCTATAATTATATATACAGTAGTCCCTGCTTATCCATGAGGCATACGGCCCCAAACCCCAGTGGAAGCCTGAAACCAGGGATAGTACCAAACCTTGAATATACTATGTTTTTCCTATACATATCTATGACAAAGTTTAATTTATAAATTAGTAAGGGATTAACAACAATAACTAATAATAAAATAGGATAACTGTAACAATATGCTGTAATAAAAGTTATGTGAATGTGCTCTCTCTCTACAAACTAGCACAGTTTTCTTTTTCTTTCACAATTTCATGGAGAGAAGATAAGTTCTTAGCATAGATTTTAGTGACCTTAACATAATACAATGTTTTTCTTTCTTTATTAAGTTGGGGAACTTTCACCTTTTCACTTCAGGGAAGCACGTTACCGCTTCTCTTTGGCATATCTGAATTGCCATCATCACTACTCGTATTTTTAAGTAAAATAAGGGTTACTTGAACACTATCACGGTGATACCAAGACAGTAGATCTGATAACTGAGATGGCTACTGAGTGACTAATGGGCCAATGGTGTGCGTATAGTGTTGATTCACTGGACAAAGGAATGATTCCTGTCCCAGGAAAGGCTAGGCATATGTACATCGGGTGATGATGGTTATAACTAGGTTGAGTCAGCTTCAAACTTTGTTTATTCTTGATATTGTGTGCATCCTTACCTAGAGGGAAGGACCATGCACCCAACTGAGAAGGAAATTTCCCAGTAGGATGTTATCAGAAGTAAGGCAAAATGGATGTCTACTCTCGAAGAGTCTGATTTGTTATCAACATAATACACACATAATAACTCTTAAAGAAACTGGCTAAGACTTTAATTGCATCTAAGATTAATTTTAGGTTAACAACTTTCAAATTTCCTTAATCCTCAGCCTGAATATGCCAATATTTGCTTTTGGTACATTCCACCGAGCCTCAGAGAGATGAAAGAAGGACCTGAGTTCTGGGAAAAACTTAATTTGGTAAGTAATAAATAAACTGTATTTTTCCTCTTGATGCAATAGAGTCAGTGCCATTTTCTATTGATCCTATAAAGAAGGGGTCCTCAAACTTTTTAAACAGGGGGCCAGTTCACTGTCCCTCAGACTGTTGGAGGGCCGGACTATAGTTTAAAAAAAAAACTATGAACAAATTCCTATGCACACTGCACATATCTTATTTTGAAGTAAAAAAACAAAACGGGAACAAATACAATATTTGTATTTGCATGTGGCCCACGGGCCGTAGTTTGAGGACCCCTGCTATAAAGGCTTCTGTACATGCTAGAACTTCTTGAAGAACTAGAGAGGTGGCTCCTAGGATATTAAAAACCAATGGCACTCCACACAGTTGTAAATATTGTGTACATTTACCAAATTAACATACTTGACAGACACACACATTCAAAATAATTGTGCAGTGTGCAAGATGGTTATAGACTGTATTAGAAGTTCTGATTTATAGTTCACTTCAGAAATTGGGATCTGGTAAGAGGACCCAAGATTAAAGTTACGTGAGGAACAGCTTCCTCTTTCAGTTTTGCTAGTACATGACTGCTTGCATCTTCTCACTTGGAGGTAATGTTAGAAGTTTACATCGGGGGTCCTTTGTGAGATTGAGACTTTCTGTTCTTTCAACAAAGGCCCTGCATCATATGCCTGTGGGGCTTATGGGATAAAAAGAAAAGGGTTGCCAACAAGAGGTTTCAACTGATTATTGAACACAGCTGGTGAAGGCTGACAATCCAGAATGAGATGAAGCTCCAGGCTCTATGGACTTCTTGTGTCTCATCAGCACCTCCCCTAGCATGGCCCTACCAATTATCTTGCCTCTAAACCAGTGGTTCTCAACCTTCTGGCCCTTTAAATACAGTTCCTCATGTTGTGACCCAACCATAAAATTATTTTCATTGCTACTTCATAACTGTAATGTTGCTACTGTTATGAATCGTAATGTAAATACCTGATATGCAGGATGGTCTTAGGCGACCCCTGTGAAAGGGTCGTTTGACCGCCAAAGGGGTCGCGACCCACAGGTTGAGAACCGCTGCAAACCCAAATTTCTAGGGCTGTGACGTTTCTTTAGTCAAGTCTACTTGATCCCACTCCCATGTTGGGTGGACATAGTGCACATTGAAGTGACCCACTGGGAGTTCCCCTGAGGATTCTGTGGCCATGACATGTAGAGAGAGAGTTCATGACACTTGGTCACATGAAGTTAGGTAATCCTCTATCCTTTGTGTCTTCCCTCTCAAGCACAGCTGGCTCCATGACTCTGGCTAGTACAAGCTCTGACTTGCAAACCCCTCCCTAACCCTCAATGGGGAAATCAGTGGTAGTTTTAACAGCTTGTATAGTCAATGGCTCTCTACTTGCCCTCTAGAAGAAAAGGAAGAACGTCCCAGTTGGGCAAGCGTCAAACATTTACTGAGTGCTCACTGTGCTGTGTACCAGAGATACAGATACCAAAAAAGACCCAGTCCCTGCCCATAGGAAGTTCATGTTGGGGGAGGAAAATGAGCACACAGACCATCACAAGGTAACTAGTAGTTGCTAGTGGAGATAAACCCTGAAAGCAGAGAGGAAGGCTATCTATCCAGGTGTGCAATACTAGAGCTGAGTTTTGAACAATAAATAGATGCCAGCCAGGGGACAATTGTAAAGAAGTATATTTCAGGAAGAATGACAGCATGATGACCCAGAGTTTTAAGAAAGTAGAGTGTGATTCAAAGGCCACGGGGGTACAAAGGGACAGTGGCAGGAGGTGAGATGAGAGTAGCAGGCAGAGGTTGGGTCATGGGGTCCCCATCTTCCATGTCAAGGTGCTTGGAATTTGTGCCTAATTAGGAGGAAGAGGGAAGACCATGGTCTTTAAGCTGTAGCCACCTATAACCTCACCTACCGCATCTCCTTTTAGCCTCAGGTCATTTTCTGTGTATTTATGTCTCATTAAATCTCCTGCACTGTAGCATAATACAGCCCCAATATAGAAATATTCTGCCTCTTGTCAAACCTGAGATCAGGCAGCAGAGATGGGGAGAGATGGATGGTGTTATCTGTGCCTCAGTCTAGACCAGCCCTCATTACCCGTTTTAGGTAGTTAGCATAGTCATTGGGATTTGTCTTGTGTTGTTGCCATACATGGCAAATAGGAGAGTGCTAAAGAATACATTTCAGATGGTAAGTAACCCATAAAAAGAACAATGTGAGAATTTAATGGTGAGGTTTCTAGGGACATTTCCCGCTTTGATGGAATGCAACTGACATTTTTTTAGGTGGAGTGGGGGAATGCTTGCTTAGAGGTGAGAAGAAAATGGTTGCTATTTTTCTCACGTTTCAGTTATTAAGAAAAGCAACCAAGAATGTGATATTTGTGCTTTACTGACAACGCTTTTGTGCAGACATGGATCAGGATAACTAAAGCATCCCATTATGTCTGGAGATATTTTTTACTCACTTTTTTATTATTTAAAGAAATATTTACATCATCTATTATCAGAAAATGTGAAATCGAGGATGAATATAGAAGCTAACTTCAGATAATTCAGCATCTAATACACTGTTATTCTTAACTGAAAATTGAATATAAATCAGGCCACTTTCTTCTATTCCCCAATATTTTTCAGTGTTGATTCTCTTATGGTTAATATCTAGGATTTTCTGTCCCGTCATTTTGAAATGCTTTTTCTGTCATTTAGAACCATGGTTTTCTTGTCCAGTCTAATGTCGTACTATGTTAATTGTTATGGTTGCTTCTGATTAGTAAACATGTACCCTGATGACAAACTATCCTTGGTTCTCAGATCCTTAGTTCCCTTTTATTCTCTCTTTGTGTGGGTGTGTGCGCATGAATCTGTCAAGGAAGGGAGGCATATATATCTATTGTTGATCTATGTGGTTTTATGCTTACTGTACTATGAGAATGCAATACATGATTTATAACCTGGAGTTCACTTAAAGCACACTTGAAATTTATCTCGGGGTTTATCTTGGATGGAGAATCACAAACAAATAAATAATCTGAATAAGGCTTTGCCCCTTCGATTCAGCCCAGTGTCAGGTTTAGCTGTCAGATTTCAGAATCAGTGGTGCAATAAGTCTTCCCTTTGACAGCAGGAGAGGAGAGGGATTATTTGGTAATGAATCTGGCATTTCATAGTGTGTAAGTGTGTGTGTGTGTGTGTGTGTGTGTGTGTGTGTGTTGTATGTGTCTGCGTGTGCTTTCAACTGTGTGTGCACATACGTGAGACTGTTTTTGAGAACACAGTCATTCTGCAATCTAATAACACTGACAGTCACTCTGTGACACTGTATTCAGTCACTGGGTTCCCACTACTTCTCTTTTTAAGATGTCCTCCATAAAAACGTTCTTTCTGATTGTCTCAGGCATTGCCGTTTTCTAGGTCTTCATTAGTTCCCTGCCCAGGTTATATTAGCCTCTTGTCTGGCCCCTGCTTCCTGCCTTCTCCTTTCCCATTTATTTTCCTGCTCCCTGCACTGTCCCACCTCCAGCTCGGCTTCATCACGTCGCTGTCCTGCGAGAAGCCCGGAATAGCTTCCCGGGCTCTGCGGCAGCAGATTTCCACCGCGGAGACCCAATGGCCACTGTTAGAATAAGCATTGTCACTGTTTCCTGTAATCTCCTGAAGTGAAACCAGTAGAAACTATGACCTGCCTACATGTAATTTTGTAAAAGGCAATAGAATGCCTTGCATGTAATGAGGAGAAATACGTTAGTTTAAAATAAAGACATGTATTCCATTACAGAAATGCTTGGGCACGATAATATGAGAAGGCATGAGGAAGTTATAAGATTCTCACACATGCTCTTAGAATCACAGTAAATGTAAGTAAATGAAATGGTGTGGTATTGGTAATAATAATTTTTTAAGATGGTGCACTACCCTAGGTAAAGCTCTGAAGAAAACCTTTTCCCCTTAGTTTACATGGTAGCAGAAAACTTAGTATTTATGAACAATGGGCCCAGATTATCTTGCATTCGTATGTAATAGAGTTAGGTTCCAGGCTTGGATAATTGTCATCAGACTTTGCCCTCATGCATTTCCAGTAAGATATGTGAAAGTTATGCAAGGCATGAGATAGTTTTTCATTGCTCAAGACTGTTCTGTGCATTGCAGGGCAGCTAACATGTCTGGTCCCCATCCCCTAAACACCAGTAGCAACTCCCAAACACTGTGAAAACTAAAACATCTGCCCAATTTTCCTAAATACTCCCTAGAGGTATAGTACCAGTCCCATGGAATGACTGATCCCCAGGATAAAATCTAGTCCCATCTGCCTGGCATCCAGAGGCCTCCATGTCTGATCCTCGGATATTTTCATCTCAACCTATTGTGGCTTCCATGATTGAGAACCCTGAACCAATAAACTGAGCCAGAGGAGTTTCGTCAATTTTCCTACTAGTTAGGAAACTAGTTAGGAACTAGGTAATGGATAGCTTTTACTAATCAAATTAGAAAATTACTGTGGTTTCAGTGTTAATGCCTAGTGTTGGTGCAAATGTCATGGGATGCATTATAACTGCTAAAGAGCATAAATATGTACAAATTTTCTGAAGAGTAACTTTATAAAACATATCACATGTCTTAATTTGGCATATATTTTCTTCCAAGTATTCCATTTATAGAAATGTATCCTTTGAAATAGTTACAGAATTATGGGGGCAGAAAAGCTACTCAGAAGAGCCTAGCCATTATTTAAAATGGCAAAACACTAAATATTTAACCATGGGGAAATGGTTAAATTTTACTGCATAACTTTATTCAAATTTCTAGCGTATAGACAATTAAAATTCTGTCCCAAAATAGCATATTCATAATTTACTATTGATTAAAAATAAGTTATAAAACAGCCACTATCATTTAATAACAATTTTGATAAAGCATATTTATGTATAGATACTTATATACATATAAAATATTGTATATATGGTTAGAAAGAGGCAGTCAATAGGCACCAGAATA